GTGGAAGCAGGAGCCAAGTCCAAACACATAGACGAACTTACGATGTAGTGATCAGACGCCGTAGTCGGAATAACAGTAGCCTTCCACCTCGAGGGATGCAAATTGGTTACATAATTGTCAATGCACGAACCATCAAGCATATTTAAAAGGCTGGGTCGAGTTACTTCGTCTCTTAGCATAATGTTGAGCCCAAAACTTGTAATTAAGTTACAAAAATCTTGACAGACATGAGACACGTTATCTTTAACATCGATGTTGAAGTCACCAGCTATAAGAACATCACATTCCAAGGATGCTGTTACAGTTAAAAGTTCTTCGAATTTGAGCAAGAATAACTCAGTATTGTCTTTGTCTGGAATTCGATAAATGCACACCAATAAAATCTTCGGATTGTCTAGGAAGAGAGCACTAATTTCAAAAACATTTACCAAGGCTAAACTGGTAATAATAGGCGCAGGAGACCAATTAATAGCATTGTTGTCCCTAATAAATATTGCTGAACCTCCTCTTTCTAACCGAGGCCTACTAAAGCTTGAACATAGTGTAAAGTTTTCTAGATGTAATGATTTTATGTCAGAATCCAAAAGCCAATGTTCAGTAATAAAAACAACATCACTGTTTTCGTCATTAGCAAATATTTTAACGAAGTTGACCTTGTCACAAAGATTACGGCAGTTCCATAGCAAGGTATTGAAGTTAAAATTGTTTAGGCCTAGGCCTACGTCAATTATATGTGCACAAGGGTTGGCTACGTCTGTGCTTACCTGGTTTTCAAAGTCAGTCACATTGGAGGTACAACTCGTTTGTCCTGTAAGTTTAAAGATTTCTTGACAACAAACCTGTACACAAACACTCCCTTCGGTCAGGTTTATACACTACTTCATCAATCCTGGAAGGAATGGTGACTTTGAATGAACAGTATTCCTCCGGGTACTTAGAATTTAGTGATTCTACTTTAAACGATTCATTGCTAAATTTTTCTAATAGGAAAGATTCCAAATCCTTAGAGTCAGTGTCCGGTGATAGCCTAGATACAAACAGGAACGACTTCTTTTCGGCAGTTTTAAGCCTATCGCCATCAGCTGCACTTAAACTTCCAGTAATAAATTTAGGTTTGTTATTGTTTTGATTTTGTCTGTAACTGACATTCCCAACGCCACGGCCTCCATTATTCTGACTTTTCTGTTGATGTTGTTGAAAGTCACGACGCATATTTCGCTTCCGATAGGAGACTGTCTGGAACGAATCGGATTCAGCTGCCATCTCACTCCTATTTGACTCCGCTGCTGCAGATTCAGACTTGGATGTAGCCGGTCGGCCTTCTGGGTTTCGAAGCAACGAGCTCGTCATAGTCGACTCTTTTACTCTATGACCACTAACAACAGATTTGTCACTAGCTGTCTGTTCAACGTTGTTGTTGTTGTTGTTGTTGTTGGCATTTTCATTACTGTCAAGCATACTAGGGTTAGGTTTAAGAATATCCTTATCGATAAGATTACAATTTAAGGAAGTTAGATTTTGAATACTACCTTCACCTCTCTTTAAATTCTGTGATTTTAGTTTGCTAGCATACGTGTTATTAGTAGACTTGTCAAAAACGATATCACCAATGATTTCAGACTGGTGTTTCAGTCCGTTCTTCAGCTTGTCATTTTCACTGAGTAAAAACATAATTTGCTCACTCATCTTGTTTTGCGTGATAATTAAATTGCACACTTTATCCGAGAGGGATTGAAATGAGTCATCAGAATATGGTACATCACATTCGTCGTCATTTTTCACAGAACTTGCTGAGCAGGGAGCAGACGACGGCGGCGGCATCGTTACAGATGACGACCGGCACGTTTCACACTTGAAAAAAGCCTTATCTCCTAACTCCTTAAAAATATTTAACTCTTCGTTTGATAGACCGGCACACGAAATGTGAAACCACGACAGACAATATCCAAAACACTTGATACATTTACTGTTCTTCGTAATATTTCTTTTGCAATCAGCCGAGCCACATCTAGTAGGCGCCATCTTGATGACGCAAAAAAAAAGCGTACTATAGACAGTTTTACCATTCAATGTTGATGTATGTGTCTAAAGAAGTGTTTTTAACTCGGGTGTCACGTCTGGACCCACTGCAGTTTCCGGTTATGATGTCTTTAAAATTGCTACATGTTACGATTTCCCCAGCTATTTTACTTAAAATAAGACCATTACCCTCTTTTATGCAAATAAAAGCACAACAAATCAATGTAATTAGTCCATAGGAATGTTTCCACTATATAAATACCCCCGGTGCAGCAATCCTGTCGACTAAGCGAATTTCCATTTGCCTGGATTAATTTTCAATTAATCTATTAAATTAATATTAAATTAACAACTCAAACAATGTTAATTTAATAGATTGATTAAAAATCACTCCAGGCAAATGGAAATTCGCTTAGTCGACAGGATTGCTGCACCGGGGGTATTTATATAGTGGAAACATTCCTATGGACTAATTACATTGATTTGTTGTGCTTTTATTTGCATAAAAGAGGGTAATGGTCTTATTTTAAGTAAAATAGCTGGGGAAATCGTAACATGTAGCAATTTTAAAGACATCATAACCGGAAACTGCAGTGGGTCCAGACGTGACACCCGAGTTAAAAACACTTCTTTAGACACATACATCAACATTGAATGGTAAAACTGTCTATATATGACTCGTACACAGCCATCGATGTCGGATTTATATGCGTTTTTGCGCCAAATTAGGTTGTTTTGTAAGATTTTCTAGTTTCTTGACGTGATCTTTTGAGTAAAGCATATCGAATTTGGTATTTTTGTAAAGCTCTTTTAACGTGCTACAACTTTGCCTTTAAGTTATTTCTGATATATTGAATCAATAAAACGTTATCGACAAAAATAACACAAAAATGTTTAAAAATATAGGTTTTTGCAAAATTACGAAAAATGTACTAAACATAAAACAAAAGTGTAAATGTAAGAAAGATAGCATGTAAACTTATCTTTCAAACAAAAAAAAGTTCATTCCGATCCGATACATGGTATGTAATATATAGTTATTTTTAATATAGCCCTTTCTGCCATTTTAATGACGTCATAACCGGAAACTGCAGTGGGTGCAGACGTGACACCCGAGTTGAAAACACTTATTTAGACACATACATCAACATTGAATGGCGAAACTGTCTTTATAAGACTTGCGAACTGCCCTAGATGCCGGACTAATAGGCGTTTTTGCACCAAAATTGGTGTTTTTATGAGATTTATCTAGTTTTTTGACGTAATCTTTTGAGTAAAACATATCGAATTTGGTATTTTTGTAAAGATTTTTAAATGTTCTACAACTTTTTTCATTTGTGGTTTTTGATAAATTGTATCAATAAAACGTTACAAACAAAAATAACTCAAAAATATTTAAAAATACAGGTTTTTGCAAAATTACGAAGAATGTACTAAACAGCAGGAAGATTAAGAAAAAATAGGTAATAGGTGTACAGTAAACAAACTAATTGTTAATATTAAAAAACTAAATGTATTGATTTTTCATGTAAAGCAAATGAATTTTATCTTGTTCTTAAGTGTCATGCACATTGTTGTATTTATAGTTTCAATTGTCATAAAATTGAAATTTGTGAAAAAGTTAAATATTTAGGCTTAATAATTGATAAAAAGTTTAAATGGAACCATCATGTAGAATATTTAAATTTAAAACTTAGAAAGATTAACAATTTATTATATTTTGTAAGGAGTTATGTTAGTCCTGAGTATCTGAAAACTTTGTACACAGCATGGTTTGAGTCTACAATGCGTCTTACACACTGGGGAGGCACTTATCAAACAACTCTTTTGCCAATTTCAATGTCACGAAGATTTGCCTTACGAAACATATCTAATAAAACAAAGTATGAAAGTATAACTTACATGTTCAAAGAACTAGATATATTGACTGTTTCACAATTGTAAATTTTTTCTTTCATTAATTTTGTAATAAAAAACCACAGTTCATATGACATTAAGAACTATCAAAGATATACAAGATCCTCAAAAAAATGTACACTTGAAGTTCCATGTTTTAAACGTGATATGTCAAGGAATCAGTTGTGCTACTCGTCAATAATGATTTTCAATAAATTTTCCGAAACAATTATTAACCTTTTAAATAGTTCCTATAATGTAACTAGTGTTATGAAAAAAAAAATACTTTGTAAAATCTTTATAATTTATAAATGAAATAACTTTTTTCATTTGTATTTTATTGTTCTTTATTGCATGTGTTTTTTACAGTAAAGTAAAAAAAAAACCTCTGTCATTGTTGTAAGCTTGGATACCATTATTATTTATTGTATTTGTGTATTGTTATCAACAGTGAATAGACTCTGCCAGTAACAACATTGTAGAATTGCATGTACCTAAAGATTTCCTCGCACAAGAGGATGTGAAATATTTAGCATGATGTTGCATGAACTAAAGGTTTTTTAATTGAATTCAATTTGGTTACTAATTGCGATTAGAGGTTAGGTATTTGTTGTCGTTGTCATTGCACCCAATACTTTATTCAATTGTTTTGGTTTTCTGTAGATTACATTTTTATTTACTGTCTCAATACTAGACTATCAAAAACCAAATCAACAATAAAACATTTAGGACAAAAAAATTCCGGCACGGTTAAAGAAATATCATAATTGTCTCCTGCAATTGAGGCAGAATCCTGAACATACTGCTCCTCGTGTAATCCGACATTTTCCTTGTTCTAGCCAAGGCCCAAATTCCGTAGATGACGGATAAGTGTGGTTGTACTGTATAGTTGATGTTTTTTAGGTTTAAAATGTATGAGTCAAAGTTACATATTCATGTTATGATGTCAGGGTAAGGAATCCAAGTTATTTTAGTTTTGGATGAATAATATACATTTTATTATAACCGGGTTTATTTCGTTTAGGTTTTGGGATTTAAAAATTCTTGTTTTGGCCATCGTTAGTTGATTTAAAGTGTTTACTTACCATATCTACTAATGCAATATAAAGGAACATTCCTGCTGCAAAGCCGAATATATAGACACTGGCTTCGACTTCTCCCAACAGAATTCCTACGAAGAGACCAAGATAGCAGGTGCAGGCTGACAGGAAGTTGTAAAGCAAGGCCTGACGCATAGTCATGCCAGCGTTGAGAAGCACAGCAAAATCACCTGTACAAACCATTTAGCACACCTTAAAATGAAATATAAAAAAAATGCCTGTCCTCTACCATTTAACTAGTGACCAAATAAATTTTACATTTCACTTCAGTAAATGAAGTTCTTAACTGAGACAACGAGTTCCATCACAGTATCTGAAAACGATGTGAGAGGAAATCGACACTTCAGCCAAGTATAAATCATGTCCTGTGGTAAGATTGCTTTGGTCTAATGCGTTACCCCTATTGAAGTCCATTGCCAGTTAATGGACATAAATGGAGAAAAGTGTTTGGACGTAGAAATGAGCATAAAGAAGAAGGTAATTTGCGGGTGGTTGTTAAAATTTGCATAATGTTTAGTGAGAGGCTGCCCTCGTTCATCACTTTCTTTTGAGAAAGTGACCAAAGATAAGGAAATTGTTCAATACAGAACACGATGTGACTGAACAAAGTGTGAGACTACCAAGGACAATGGCAAACCTTGGTAGTCTTAAAAATGCCAATTAGCAAGCAAAGTTTCCTCAATTTCAATTACTTTCTCAATGGAAAGTCCTGCTGTCGACTTTACTCACGACAGCTGTTTCAGTTCAGTCAGAGAGAATCAACACATAACGATAAAAATACATCGCTAAACGGCTGTCTCCAATAGTCACTATGAAGCCATGAATTACCTGGACAATTAGTATAAGTAAGCTGGGGCATTGATCATGCGTATATAAAAATAACGAACAAAGCTTAGCGCCTACAAACTCGCCTGATTTTGGGCGGGCGACACTCGTACGCATCAGAAAACCTGCCCAATATGGGGTGGGCGATACTTAGAGGGTTAAAGGATCAACCATTGTTATATACTCACAAAGTGTGTTTATAGTTAATGATATTATAAAGTATGGCCAATAGGTTATCAACTTCTTAAGCTGCTAATGAAATGTACATAAAGCCTATCACGAGTTAGAAAACGCGAGTTACACTTGTACCATTGACTATATAAACTTTAGGCCTATATGTATTTATATATTCAATGCTTGTACCATCTGGCAACATTGCCCTCAATCTGACAACATGGCGGCAAGTGATAAGCCTCTATCATTCAACTAGAGTTCTGTTCTACTAAACTGTCAGTTGAACACGTCATTGTTGTGGAATGCAAAGGCAAGCTATTTTGGATTATAAAACTATTACGAATGTGAGATAATGAACTTGGAATTATTTATCTTAACTGACTTCAGATTATTACAAATAAACTATGATGTGCCACTCTTTACAACCTTCAACGTTAGTTGAGTTTAGCATCATAATTAACCTCACTTTTCGGAATCGTATCGAGTAAAATGAAGCAAAGTATCGAGAATCGGCAATTCTTCGATACCACTTCGATACATAATCGAGGTATCGAGAATCGGAATTGGCCCATCCCTAATTATTATTAAAACAATGCCAATTTTTAAATAAAAATTTTTTAGGACCTTTTAGTGACAATTCAGATCCTTACAAAGCTCTAAAACAACATGTAAGTAACTTCATTCCACAACCACTAACTCACCCAACTCGTGAGGAAACTCTTCACACATGACAGCTACGCTGATACTGATCCCGGTTAGTATGCTCTCATTGAACGCAGCTCCGATTGACAGTCCATCAATGAAGTTGTGTATTCCATCTCCAAATATAACCATCCACGCGACTGTAGCGATCACATTGTCTGAGTTCTTTTGGAAGCCCAGCACATGATCTGTACCGTGGCAATGTTTTGGTTTCTGTAAAAATGTCATTATGAAAAGATCATAAATTAAAGAATGAGGTGAAATTGTATTCAGGGCCATTTATTCAGTCTTTAAACAATACATTATTGTAATTTACATCGTCAATATTATTGTAAAAATATATAAGCTGCAATACTCATATACTTAATAGAATTAGACATGAAAAAAATCCAAATTATTGGCTACCCTTCAATCCATCATCACGCTTTCAAAATATTAAACTTAATATAGCTATAAACTACTGGTTTAAAGGTAAACACACTTTGCTCAACATCCATGACACCATATTTTCGGGATGTTTTGAACATTTATGATTTATCAACATGATTTCATCGATTGATCAAAAATCATAACTAGCAAATGTCAATAAAAATACTTGCTAAATACATGTTATGATTGTATGCAAAATTAAGTCAAGAATGGAAAATCTCAGAAACAATTACTGGGTCCTTTTACCAGAAATATTCCCTGCTAGGTAAACACCAACAAAAAAAAAAAAACATGTAAATTTGGTATATGGCTCGAACCTCAATTTCAACGTCTCTGATTGAATGGTTACTGTTTTCTTATTGATTTGATGTTTAATCAATATGAATGTTATACTTGAATAATATATATATTCCATTGTAATCGTTCAGTTATCAATTTGACCTGTTTCATCCAATTTTTGTTTAATTTCACAGATCAAATCAAATCAATTTCTAAACTGGTTCATAGAATGTAAGAATTTAAGTCTACAATTAATTATGTCATACACCCCTACAAATTTTATACTTAAAACAACCTAAAAATGAAAAAAAAAATGCCAAATAAGCATGTTTAAACTACTAGGCATGCGGCCTCAGGTCCGCCAATTGAGCGGAGTAAGCAAGCTTTGATATAAACAAATAACTTTAATTTGTTTTCATGATTCAAATTGAATACATGATGACGTCACCATAGCAACAATCCAATTGAATTCTCGTGGTTGGTTGGAAGAGTTGAAGGAAATATGAATCCAGACAGCTGTTTCTATTAGGTCTAGATTTTTACTTGTATATATGAGTAATAGTAAAACTGTGTGTTTGTAATAGCATAAAGATAAGTATTATTTTGTCAATATCCTAATGTTTGTTTAGCTCCCATTTATGTAATAGGCCTAGGCTTCCTTCTCTTTTTCTCCAACTAAAACATTTAGCCAATTAGTAAACTTTGCTCAGCGATCAGAATGAGAGAAGAAGGTATATAGCAATACCATAGTCAATGGTCACCACAGGAAATAAGGCGTGGCTAATTTCACGAGCTGATGATACCCTGAAAAAGATGGTGGTTGCCGCGACGCTAGTGGCATTGAATTGGTGACGTTTGCGCTAGCTCCGCCCCGTTGCCAAAATAGGCCTACTGTACTCAATAAATACATTAGATTTTAAATACGGCACTGGATAGAGAATTGATGAATTAAACAAGAATATATTTATTCCTCATGCTAAATTACAGCATGATTAAGTAAAATACTGTATATGCATAGTAAACTACTGTACAGCAAAATTATTAAAATAAAATATGAAAGACGTTTTTATATTAGGCTATGGCAATTTAATTTGAGAACCTGCACTGTGTTGATGTAAAGCCTATTTATTGGGTTGTACTAAATTTTCAACCTGACATAAAAATGCCAACATGCTGTTCTGTTAGCTGTAATAATTCACCTTATAGTATTACGGAAAAAATAGGAATATTATATCACGCTTATTTTATAACTGGACTCCCATACAGGCAAAGCAGTCTAGGCTCTACTTTTTGTAATTATTACCTTATTATCTTCATCTTTTACCCAAAAGGGATTGATGGCGTCAGACTTTCAAATAAAAAATATATACATTTAAACAAACAGACATAAATTACTGAACATATATTTACAACATTGGCATGTGTAATTGTAACTGTGTCTGTATATCTGCACAGAGAAAATTATTTCCACACTTATAAGCTATAAATTGGACAACACAAGTTAACAAGTTTAGTAAAATATTTAATTACAATAAATAAGCTAACTGAACTTCTGTATAGGCCTAGCAGTCTATGCATTAGGCCTACACGCATTGAAATCGTAACTGTACAAGCCTAACCAATTATTTACACGACATAGTTAAAGTGGACTTCTATAAAATCCTAGGTAATTATTTATTTATTGTAGTCGCAACTGGACTTTAGTGTGCAAGCCCAGCAAATCACTGTATTTATATAGGATAGGCTACCGTTAATAATATTTGAAAATACAGTTTCGGAAATACAGTTTCTATAGTTTTCAATTTGAATACTCTCTTTTACTGTTTATAAACTAAGTACCTGGAGACCGAGCTTTGCTCGGGGAAAATCATTCCCCCACTCTGCGATGCCAGCCTTTACTACTTCCTTCACCATTTCCTGCGTCATTGTTTCCTTCCCTTCTCATAGCATTTAAGTATTACAGATACATTAATCTAACTGCCACAAACGGTTCCCACACTCTGCGATGCTAGCATTTACTAATTCTTTAACCATTTCCTATCTCTTGGACATCTTTCCATCCCATCTCATAGCATTTAAGTATTTCAATTTCAGATACAGAAATCGAACTGTTACAATTGTTTTCCAGTTCCCAGACTCACAATGCTCGCCTTTACTACTTCCTTCACCTCTTCCTACGTCGCGGACCTGTTTCCCTCCCTTCCCATTGCATTTTAAGATTGCAGATACCTTAAACTAATCCTTATAAACAGTTCCCACACTCCGGACTGCTCGCCTTGACTACTTCCTTTACCACTTCCTACGTTTCGGACGTGTTTTCCTCCCTTCCCATAGCATTTTAAGATTGTGGATACCTTAATCTAATCGTCGTTAACAGTTCCCACAATCCGGACTACTCGCCTTTACTACTTCCTTCGCAACTTCCTACGCCGCGGACCTATTTCCCTTCCTTCCCATAGCATTTTAAAATTGTGGATACCTAAATCTAATCGTCATAAACAGTCCCCACACTCCGGACCGCTCACCTTAACTGCTTCCATCACGACTTCCTACGTCACGGACAAGTTTCCCTCCCTTCCCAAAGCATTTTAGGATAACAGATACCTGAGATACCTTAATCTAATCGTCACAGTTAGACAGTTCCCACACTCCGGACTACTCGCCTTTAGTACTTCCTTCACCACTTCCTACGCCGCGGACCTGTTTCCCTCCCTTCCCATAGCATTTTAGAATTGTAGATACCTTAATCAAATCGTCATAAACAGTTCCCACACTCCGGACTACTCACCTTTACTACTTCCTTCACCACTTCCTTCGTCGCGGACCATGTTTCCCTCCCTTCCCATAGCATTTTAAGATTGTAGATACCTTAATCTAATCGTCATAAACAGTTCCCACACTCCGGACCGCTCACCTTTACTGCTTCCTTCACGTCTTCCTACGTCGCGGACCTGTTTCCCTCCCTTCCCATAGCATTTTAGGATAACAGATACCTTAACCTAATCGTCATTAATAGTTCCCACACTCCGGACTACTCGCCTTTACTACTTCCTTCACCACTTCCTACGCTGCGGACCTGTTTTCCTCCCTTCCCATAGCATTTTAGGATAACAGATACCTTAATCTAATCGTCATTAATAGTTCCCACACTCCGGACTACTTGCCTTTACTACTTCCTTCACCACTTCCTTCGCCGCGGACCTGTTTTCCTCCCTTCCCATAGCATTTTAGGATTGTAGATACCTTAATCTAATCGTCATAAACATTTCCCACACTCCGGACTACTCACCTTTACTACTTCCTTCACCATTCCTACGTCGTGGACCTGTTTCCCTCCCTTCCCATAGCATTTTAGTAGGGATGGTCAAGTCTCGAAATTTCGGGAAATTTTCGGGAAATTTTAAATCTCGTTACACGAGACGAGATTTATTTTTGGCCGAGATTTTTATCGAGACGAGAATAAAAAAAAAAAAAAAAAAAAAAAAAAAAAAAAATTAAAAACGCCTGCAGAAAGTCAATGCAATACCCGCAATACAGGAGCGTGTTGTAGTTGCGTTTCCTTTGCGAAGGCGTTCTTATTTAATTAATTCTTCAAATGTAAATATTACTTTAATTATTTTAATAACATTTGAGAAGTTTTGTTAAGTGTTAGCAGTGTGAGGATGTTTTATTACTATAAAAAAAGTCAAAACAAGTAACTATTTTATAAAAATTAATATTTTATTTTATGATTTATTTTATTTTAGGATAAGTTGAACTCTATCCTAACTGATATCACTATGTTTCCTAATCGTAGGCATTTTTAATAATTTAGGCGTGATTAATAAAAAAATGTTATGCTGATGTTTTTTAATAAAAGATTGTAAATATTCTTGCCTATTATCATTATTTTTGTATTTAAACAGTCATCTAACAATGTTACAAAATCAGGTAACAATTCCGAACGTGCATTTCTCGTTGTGTATGAGAAGGGAAATCCCGTCTCGATCTCGTCTCGAAATTTTATGAGAAATAAAAAATCTCGTCTCGTCTCGTCTCGAAACTAAAAATCCAATCTCGTCCATCCCTACATTTTAGGATTGTATATATACCTTAATCTAATCGTCATAAACAGTTCCCACACTCCGGACCGCTTACCTTTACTGCTTCCTTCACGACTTCCTACGTCGCGGACCTGTTTCCCTCCCTTCCCATAGCATTTTAGGATAACAGATACCTTAATCTAATCGTTATAAACAGTTACCACACTCCGGACTAATATATTACCACAAAACTAATAACAACAATTAACACGTTCACGGCGGCACGTCAAATGGCGGGCGTATCCCAGGTCCGGCGCAGCCCTCAGCATCGAACAAACCCGATTGCCGCGTGTGATTGGCTTTCCAATTTCGGGCTGACAAATAGCAAATAACGTGCGAGGATGTCCTGCTTTACAACGAGAGTCGACGTAGTTCGCTAAACACCAACAGATAGCAGCACTGCTTGTAACGTAGCCGGTCCCA